TTAACAGCTGTGTGAAAGCCATTGGGTTTTTTGAAGCTAGTTAACAAGCAGTTTATGACAGGCTCTTGGCAAAGCTGGAATGGGCAAGCCAGGGTTCAGGGAGGGGAAAAGAGAAGAGCTCTGAACTTGGTGCTACTCGTAGGTGCTGGAAAAGAAGACGAAATGGGAAGGAGTTCAGCCTGAAAGGAAACAGGAAAGGGAAGAGTTCTGCTTATCAAGGAGGGGGCAATATGTGAGGAAAACTGCCAAATATCAGGACTCGGCAAGCCAAACTTGGGCATCTTTTCCTCGATTGCTTTGGACATTCAGTGGTTTGAGGATGCTCAGAGTAGGGGGAAACTAAAATGAAGAGGAGGAAGTGGGGTGGTCAAATGGCAAGACAGGGGGGAAAGGAAAATTGACAATTGCTCTTCTATCTTTACCCCAATTGAAAAACACGAAATGATTCTGAAAGCGGGACTGGTTAAGATGCCTTCTTTTACTGTAAGAATGATTTTTTTACTTTTTAAAAWTTTTTTAAAAATTTAATTACTAGTAAATTCTACTATTAAGAAGGCTTTTTAGCACAGAGCAGTTCCTCGTCTCTGCTCTGCGAGCACTGAATTGCAAGAGGAGGAACACATGGCTATGTAGCCACATGGCTACCAGTGGCTCCATTAGCACAGACTTGCTGCTGGCTCCCTGACATATGTGCCAAAGAGGAGCACTTTCCTAATGGACTAAAGGTGAACGAAACAGGTCTGTGGAAGTCTCCGTCAGATTGGGTTTTGCCTTAATATGTAAGCTCTCCCCTATCTGATTTTTTTTTTGTTGGTCCCTAAACAAATCTCTAGTGTAAGTATTTGAACACTCATCGAGAGCTTAACAGTCCCTATCTTGGTTCATGTTTGTGTTTAGCAGCTCAAATATTGCTAGTAACAGAACACAAACGGTCTTTGCTGAAACTTTGGTGATTCGAGACTTTTGAAGAGAGAAATGGAAAATTTTGGGACTTCAATATTAGTATCAGGCATTTGGTGAAACAGTGGTAATGTCCTGTAGCTACTCATTACTCCTTCAGGAAACATGAGTATGCATATAATACAGTATAACAAATGCTGCCTAATGGTTAACCAAGTAATCTGGGAAGCTTGCAGCTATTAAGTGTTTTAAAACTGATGCTTTACAGTGCTCAGAATAGCAATTATAAACAACTATGTTAACATTAGTGAGCTGGAAGCAATAGCCAAGTTGTGTACATCTTTCCATGATTTACTACTATTTTTTCTGTAAGTTGGGAAAAGCCATGTGTTTTCTTGAAGACTTAATGTTCTTCGCTTTGTTTGCACAGTTTGTAGGCTTTTTTGTCATGCTTCAAAGTATTTTAAAAAGTTGTAGTACTTAATGCTTATAAAATGAGCCCTCAGTTGAATACTTGCAGAAAATTTCTGAAAGAAAAAAAGACCAAAATCAAAAGGTGGTTATGCTGAGTGGATAAAGCACTGGAAACTCAAAGCAACTACTCTTGCTGACAGGAGTGTTTCATACAGATATGCCCACCCACACTTCAAAATGCACCCTGTATCTACCCCAAGTTTCAGTCTGGGAAAGGCTTCTGGGCCTTCATTTTGGTGTCGTGTAGCTCTGATTTGTTTCCGTCTCTTCTGTGCTTGATCCTGGATGTCTGAATGTGGTTTGGAGCAGTGGACCCTTCATCTCCAAAGTGGTTAATACATCCTTAGTTTAAAAATACAACTGGAGTTAATGCTATCCTAAATTAGCTCCTACTGATGCCTTGCAAAACACAGACATATATTCTCTTGGTTTGAATTTGGGTGACTTAAAAGGCCTCTCTACTGAGAATGCTTTGTTTGCCCTTTAGGAGGAAGTCAGGAGGTTGGCACTATTACATAAATGTAACTATTAAAACAACCTGCACTGATTGCTCTTGAAAGGCTCTCCAGTGTTGGCAGCRTCTCCCACACAGCTCCCTTGTGAGGAGGTTTAGGACACTGGTGGTTTTCAGAAGAACTAAACTGCAACTTGTAAAGCAGGAGAATGGAGGTGAATTCATCATAAGACAGAGACAGTCTTCAGGTTCTTGCATTTTTGCTTCCCTTGAAACATGTTTTGTCTGATTTATGTCCTACTGCAGGCTGTAGTGCCACGTAAAGGAAACATTGATTTATTCTAAACATTTTGTCCTGTGTGGGGTTCTCATGGGAGGCTGACCTGGGTTAGAATATGCAGTCTGACTTCAGCTTCTTGAAAGATGAGCTTAGTCCCTTCCTTATTTCATTCCAATATAAGGGACACTTTAATGCACTTGATGTARCATAGTTATTGTATAGAGCTTTTTCTGAAGAATTGCCAACATGTTACTCCACTGCAGAGGAATGTGGTATTTCTAGTGTCCTACTTCAATGACTGGATTAAATAACTGATGAAACCCTGTTATCTGGAGGGACTGTTGCTTGTTGTCTCTGCAGAAAACAGTTCACTAAATATTTCACTTTTGTGTGTGCTTGCAGCGCTCTTTTTCATCTATTGTGTCTTCTTTCCTGTGTCATTTTCTGTGTCACAGAAATAAGTGTAAGTTATTTCTTAATTTCTTATTTTTGTACTCTTCCTTGTTTAGGGAATGGTGATTTTTTTTWWAAACACATTAAGAAAAAAACCCACCTGCCTAATGGTTCTATGTCACAGTTTAAGAATCTTTTTCCCTTCAAAATGGGTTGTTGAAAAATGCACTTGAGTGCATGAAGAATTATTTTAGTGGGAGCTTTACAGGAAAAGTGCTCAGCAGTAGAAGAATTGAGAGGAAAAACACAGGCCACCTGTGAAGAGGACCCCCGTTGGGTTTGCTTCTGGAAGYGTGTACAGAGCTTGTAGTTGCTGAGTGTGTTTTGAGTATGCGGCTGGTTTACAGCAGTGCCACATGGGGATTTTTGTGCAGAAGCCAGGGTGTCTGGAAACGTGTTTATGGAACAGGCAGTTCAAAAATAAATGCAAGTGTTTTCACATGCTTGCCTCTGCTGCTCTTGAGTGCAAATGGCTGCAAATAAAACAAGGTTTCTTTCCTGCACCTCTGAAGTGGATGAACTGAAGAGCCCAGCATGGTAGGAATCAAAGATGCCACCCCTCCCCTGTAAACAATAAAATGCCGCTGATAAGTTACTCTTGTTCTGCTAGCTGCCTTTGAAATGCAAAATTTGAACTTGCTAAGTCATCTAAGCTTAACCTGCAGTATCTGTGTGGTGTTGGTGTGTTGTGTGGTTTCTTTTTACCTGATTTTGCTGAGAGATTATTTAAAGAGATCTCCTTTAGTAGGGATTTTCCCACTTGGTGTGTTTAGCTGTCTTTGAGAGGAGGGGGGGAAAATTTCTAGTGGCAAATTTTAAGAGTGTCTATTTGTTTTATCAGGTTCAGGTGTTACAGAAACTTTTCTGTTGTCATGCAACTACACAGCAGCTCTGACAAATCTCAAGTTGTGTGAGGTGATGCTTGCGAGTATTTATCCAATAAGTTGTTCAAATGCGCATTGCAGTGATGTGTACAAGAAATTTTAAAATATGGCTGARTTCTGTCAGGTTTTTACATTAAGATTTCTTTCTCAGATTTTACACCTGTACAGAATCATAGATCTGCATAGTGACAAACAAGTAGTAAAAGCAGCCCTTGTAACAGATGTAAGTTGTATTTAATGACTTTGTGTAGCTTTTGTTATATCCAGTGATCAGTAGTAGAGCAGATACATTAAACATGCAGTAGTATCTTATGGTGTACTGTAATTATACCACAGTTTAATTGATCTAAACTGAGAGAATTAGCATGAATGTGCTTTCCTTCACTATTATTGCTCCTGTTTTTCCCTAGTTGAGGTGGAAGTCTCGAGACAAGCATCTAATCCTGTCGCACCACCTACTGTTGAAAGGCAGACATGGGCATTAGTGTTTTCTTTGTCTGGATTTTAGTGTAATCCCCTCTTTAGTGTCACGCTGCCTTGGTCTGGCTAGGAATTCGTGGTTTCTTAACCATTGCTATTAGAGTGGAGATCCAGCAGCAAAGCTAACCTGGAACCAACTGGAATAACTGGCTAATGTGGGATATTTCAGCTGCTTCTTGTGCAGCTTAGGCATAACTGAACTGTGGTTAAAGGAGCAAGAGTAAAAGGAAGAGTCTTTTCACATAAAGAGAAATTGGATTTTTTTCAGTAAAATGTAAAACACTTTAAGCATGCACATATGTTTTTATGAAGTAAGATAAGCTTTGCCATGTGAACACTACACAGCTCCCCTGTGATATCTGTTCTTCTTCAGCTATTTTGCTTAACTTGGCTTTTAGCCACTTGCAAGCAACAAGCTCAACCCAAACCAGCAGTTAGGGCAAGAAGGTGCCTGCATGGTGTGGTCCATAGGAAGGTGCACCCAGGATGGGCTGTTTAGCTCTTGGTCCACAGAACTTAGCAGTTTCTGGTATATTATCCGAGTGCAGTGAGACTTGTTTTGTCTTGTGCTGCTTTTGTGTTTGAAAGGATGAAGCTCTCTTTGAAAATAGAGAAATAAGTCTGTGTTGTAGGAGACAGGCCCCAAAAACGTTCTTGGATTGGCTTTGAGACAGGCATGATTGGTTTTTCAGGGATGGGCAGTACAGGTAACCTTAAGATACTCAAGCTGTAGAATGCAAGGAAGTTGGTGTAGGCARATGTCTGCCCTGAAGGCCAATATTTCCAGGTGTGACTTTGATCCTGAGGTCAGTATGTGGGTAAAAGTGGATGTCTTAAATCCTCAAGACTGTTYTGTTTTTATAGTGTTTTTTATCGAGGAAAAGATAGTAGGAGCTGAAAACCTTGGGAGCATTGCTTAGCATAAAATCATTTTCATACATCTATGTTTATATGTGTAAGCCTCCTAGCTATAGACATGTTGAGGAAGCRATTGCTTGAGCTTTTGAAGTCCTTTTTAACCCCTGCCCACATTTTCCCCCTGCCCTTCACCTTCTTCCTCCACCCCAATTGACAGGTATAGGATCTTCTCCCAAAGAGAAGCCTGTCTCCATGAGAAATTCTGCAGCCTCTTGGGCTAGCTCTGCTAAACTGCTTCCTAAACCCAAGGTGCCTGTCAAAAGGCCGGTGCTGGAGAGAACCCACAGCGTCTYGTCAGTCAGTAGCACGCAGAGCGAGCAGAGCCGGCTCAGCAGTCACTGTAAGTACTGGTCAACTGGGTTGTTGTTGAGACCCAACACCARCTTGTTGCACAGTCCTCTAGAAGGAAGGTGCTGTCTCACAAAGGCTTTAGTTCTCACCTCACTTCTCTTACTAATTCTGGATCTTACTCCCTTTGCTTAACTGGCAACTTGGATTCTTAAGATATACAGTCCAAACAACTTGGACTTGCATTTTTTTTGACTAAAACTTCTTGTGGGTCTCCTTTTCCATCATGAAGCCTCTCAAAGACTTCTTGATGAGAAGTCTAGCTGGAAGATCTCCCCTTATTAGAAATGTTGCTAGGTACTAATAAGTTTCCGTACTAGAAATAAGGCTGAATGCTATGAATAGAGTACTTAGTGTAGAGACACTACAGGTCTCCTATACTAAATGTTCATGATGACCTAGACAGTATCTCACTTTTAGAGTTCTAAGGCAAAATGCATACCTGAGAGTCTCAGACTTYCTCTTTTTTAATAGAAAGTACAGCTTGGAATCACTAGGCTTTTATCCTTTCTCATGTTACTACCAGCACAGGTATATGACCTGAACCAAAGCCGTCTGAAGACTGAGGGGACAATAATAACGCAGCCAATTTAATACAAAGCTCTGTGCAGGGTCTGTCCCAGCAGTTGTGGGAGTTTATAGGGGGAAGAAGCGCAAAGGAAAACACAACTGACTGTTAGCCAGGCATGTCAGTTTTCCAGCTATACATATTCAAATGAGTACATTCAAATGTTCTGTTGCTATCACATGGCCTGTTTTCCCCTGGAGATGGGGGAAAGGCATTTCCTTTAAGCCAGATGTCTTTGGAGTCTGTCTGGCACTAAGAGGACTGTGTGTTACCATACATTTATAGCTTAGGTGCACARATGCATGCATACGCATAAAGCAAGTTCTCTCGATTCCTTGTTTTCCTTCCTCTAGCAGTCTTACTAAAAACGAAGCCCTACCATATTCCTGAAAGGAATAAGAGGGTGTGTAATGAAATATGCAGTATGTGCATCTCCGAGCGGGCTGTTTCTGTGCCCCCGAGAGCCCTGGTGCCTCGTGGGGCTCGAGCAGCGTCTCGGAGCTGGGAGCAGCTCTGTGTCCTGCCTCCCTCGCGGAACAAAGGAGAGGTCGGGCTCCGGGCGAGGGACCRCGCGCTCTTCGGATTAGGCATCCCGGCCGCTGGCTCCTGACCTACTCTGCTTGGCTAGCCGGCCAAATCTATCCGCTGCCTCCGAAGCTTCCCGTTTTTCCCCTCTGATTCATTCYAAGAGAGCTCGTGAGGAGGAGGAGAGGGTGAACATGGCTGCAGTGTCTCTGGCTTTGGGCTTGCTCTGATCCTTTTTAAATGACTGTACCAGGAGGACTCCGCAGCTGCACGGAAACCAGTTTTTCTCCTGATATTTTCATCAATTCTACACTAACCCCACCGACTGCACCAGGAAGCCACTACGACCTTACCTTACTGACCTTGCTGGTAGTGGGATCTTACAGCTTTTGTGTTGTTCCTTTGTTAGCCACCTGTACGGGGAAAAAAAGTAGGTTGTTTTTTCTGTTTTGTTCTTAAACTGTGTGTTTTGTTTGTTGAGGCTGCTAAATGTGGCAAATGTTCTGGCTTGTTTTTCACTCAACATGATTTCTTTTAGATAAATTGCTAAACTTAATGAAAAAAGACTTTAGTCTGGTCGTAAGTTCTTGTGAGCATCATGAATTTGGRTTACGTATAATTCATATGTTAGTATAAGGATTTTTATTGCTGTCAATAAAACTGAAAAGAATTAATAAACTTACCTGTACTTTAGTGTTTTCACATACAGCGCTCTGTTTTTCATTGCCTTGGTCCCTAAGCAATGATGTCAGGGAAAAAAAGGCAAATAACCTGTATTTGCAAACAATGTTGAAATAATTCTTTTAAATTAGTGGGACAGAAAGATCAAACCAGGTGGTGTATGCTGTGAAGGTCATAGAAATCCATGACCAAAAATTTTGTAGCCTGCGGATAGCATTTAGTGGATGGAGTCTGGCTTGTTTTGTTTAAGGAGTTTGCCTTTTGTTGGTGTATGACAGACTGTTCCTCCTGCTGGGCAGCTYAGCCCTTTGTTGTGAGACGTGCTTAAGGACCAGTAATTTCCTCTGACAGCATTAATCTTTTGTGTCTAATGAGCATTTGAGTTTTATGATTCTTTCCTCTAAAGAAACTCATTATTATGAGAAATTTAGAAATCATGAAATTCAAGTGTTGCTGCTGCGAAGTAAGAAAACACRTACAGCAAACAGGCTTTAGATTTGAACATGGGAGGAAAAAAAAACTAACAGTAGAGAAATTGTGGGGAAAATCTCAGCACTAAGCTTAAAATACTGTCATTGAACACATGGAAACGTTTAAGCTCTGAGGTTAAGAGCAAGAATCCAAACTGGAATYGTCTTGTGCTAGTTGCATGCAGAGGGAGTAGTGTTTTCAATAGCTGATCATAACAATCGACCTTGAGCTGCATCTGCATTTCTATACAGTTTTAATACTTAAGATTTTTTTTTAACTTATTTTAAGGGGAAGTTTTTAACCCTTGAGATATTGGCTGGAGTGAGAACTTGGTATCTGCCAGCCTTTTATCAGAAGTTTGCGATAGCTACTCCAAAGTGTAGAATAAACTATCTTTTGACTAGTATGAGGACTAAAGTTTGCAGATCTGCCTGGCCAGCAGACTCCAGAGCTTCTAGTACAAGAGAGCAGTGCCGAACTTGTCCTGCACCAGAATGCCCTTAATCCAAGGGCTGCTTCCCTGCTGAAGTAGGAAGTTAAAACACAGCAGTTTGCAGGCAGTATTAGATGCTTGCAATCATCCCTGAGTAAATATCCTTAACTTGGTCATCTCTGGAAAAAGCTACAAAATGCCTAAGGGCTGATGCTTTACTGGAACAAATCAATTTGGCACTGATCAATACCAGATAATTCAGGCTTCACCAGAATAAATGCATCACTGACCCAAATTGTTCCTCATGTATAGATTTTCTTTGCAAATATTTAGCTTTTTGCCTTTAGAAAATGACAAACAAAGGAAAGCTGCTTCTCTTGGTGTTGCAGAAGATGCATTGATGTATGGTTAAGAAGGACCATTGTGAAACGGCTAATTTTACACAACTTCTTGCCTGTAYGTTTAGACACCAAAATCTAGGACTATGTATATTGAGTTTTTAGTATACAGTATTTGATACATACTTAATGTTACTTTTTAATCAGCCTTATAAAACCCTAATCGGAGGCAGACCTGATGGATGAACAGCTTTCTCCTGTCAAAAACAGTGCAGAATATTTCAGTGTGACTATTCTTGCTTATCTCTCGTAAATGCAATATTAACTTAACTCCTAATGTGTCAGTATATGTATTTCTTCAGTATTGGAACCAACTTGCCTGTACTTATTTTAGAAATCTCTATGTGTATGATTTAGTTTTGCAGGAGTTCAGCGTCCCTGGGGAGGAGAGGCTTTCCTTTATGTCTCCTTAAGCTCCTCAGTGGAGTTAGAGGGCTTCTTCTGAGCTCTGCCCTCCGTAGGGAGCTCACAGAGGTGCCTCCTAAAGAGGCTGGAAGGAGTGCAGAGTTTTGTGGTGTAGTGGGGGCTTAATAGTAAGTTTTGTGTTTGGAAGGACTTTTTATGTTGATGATAGTCATTTCCATGGCTCATTCAAAATGAAATTTATTCTACGCTTTTGTAAAACAAGTTCAGATTTTTAATATCTTTACATACATTTTATATACGTTTCCCTTTTACACAAACCAAAGCCTTGTCTATTTCTGAATGCTTGTGTTTCGGACTAATAGATTCCAGTTCATCATTCTCTACAGAATAGATATCACAAGTAWTAATATTCCTTTTGTTTGTTTGTTAAATTACCCTGAAAAATGCTTGTTTTGGAACACAATTTTCCTAAAACTATATACTGCCTAGAGTAAATTCTTGTCCTCCTRTGCTGCAGCTACAAGCGCCACCATAATCATCAAGAATGGAGAATGGTCTTCAAGAACAGCTTGTCAGAATGGTACTCCTGGATCTCTCCCTTTGAAAGCATTGCCAAGGCCAAGAATACACTCYCTGAAAACATCTCCAAAAGGTATCTGGGTCTGTCTATACCTAGACTGGAACTAGAGTTAGTCTTATTACAGTACCTTAGCTTTGACAGTTGGTTGCTTTGTGAAACAGGGGCTACTGAAGAGCCATCCAGGAAAATTTTGTGAGGAAGGGAAGTCACACCAGTARTGCTTTGAGTTCACTAGCTCTTGTTCTGTGCTGTGGTGTGGGCTGATTCAGGAACAACATGGCTATGACTTGCTTGTAACTGAGTTCAGCCTCATGCTTTCTGCTAAATGGCAGGTGTCATTGCTTCTGTTTTGTTGTACTGAGATACSTAGTCAAAAAACTTAAGCAGAAAGACTCTGTAGCTGATGGTCTGATTATCTTCAGGATAGGTGTACCTTGAATTTATTTCAGGTGTTTGCTCATTCTCTTTCTCATGCAGACTGCTTTTCAGGAAGGAAAGGGCTTTAGGGATGGGTTGTTTTTTTCTCAGTGGCAATTATTAGATGAAGTCTTTCCTAGACAAATGTTACTGCCTCCTTTTCCAAAGAGAATAATAATAATAATAATAATAGTAAAAAAAAAAAAAAATCTTATTGGAAATCTCTTATTGGCTGAGGTTGAAGTTGTGTGGTTCACTTTTATGTGCTTTTCCAACCGGTCCTAAAATAAACTTAGATTAAATATATTGCCTGGCTTTGCATCAAGCACAATTTCTGCTTCTGATGGTGCCAGAGGAGGATGCAGTGGGAAATCATTACCAATTRCAGAATGTGAGACTGGATGTGGTGGTGGTGCAGAGAATTGTTAGGATAACCATCCTAATATCCTTATGAGGCTTGTGTAGCACATCTTGCATAGCACAAGAGTGGATTGCCTAATAGCTCTATAGGAGCTCCGGGCTTCCAGTGAAGTAAGTTGGTGAAGTTTCCAGATAGACAAATGCACAACTGACTAGTCTTGTGTTGGTGGTGGACCAGTGCTGTGCTGGGAGGCTGGCTGGCACCTAGAGGTCCTGTTCAACTGACACTACTGCAGCTGTGCTCCGTTTGCTGCTTAAGTGAAGTCTTTACTGATGCTACCTTCTKCTTAGAAGCTTTCTTAAGTTATCTTTTATTTCTTCTGATGTTAATTCTAGTAGARCAAACTTAGGTTTAAATATAACCTGAAACTTTCTAGGTGACTTTTTTGTTTAAGGAGACTTGTGCAACTTAGGCTTTCTATAAAGCAGTTAAAGCTAGATGTGTCTTTAATTGCTGACCTAGCTTTGCTTATGAAACTCATTTAAGTCCTTGTATTTCTAGGAGCCAAGACCAGGTCTGCTTCCCTGAACCAGTGCTTGCCAAAATCATCTGGGCCACTGCACTCRGCAAGGAAAGTCAATGAGGCTAGAAGCAGTCAGCTGTTGGGTAAAGTCATTTTTTWATTTATACTCTTCAGTCCTTGCCCTCTCTTGAGAAAGGGTAGCTATACTCTGTGACTTTCAAGTGATGGAGATGGTCAGTCTTTTCTCTGGAGTTCATGGTATTGGAGACTGACTTTGCAGAAGCTTTCACTACAGAGGTAACAGAGCTTTTAATGTCCACTGTCTGCTCGAAATGCCTCTCCTATGAGGACCCAAAACATTGGATAATGTCTGTTACCTACTTTGGATATTGTATGCTTACAAGATGCTGTGCAGATTAACTTTCTGAAGCTGATGTGTAAGCAAATTTCTGAAATTGCTCCTCAGCTTYGGCTGTTTAGGATAATGTGTGTTTGACTGTCTGCTTTTTTTCATGTTTAATTGTCATTTATAATTAATAACTGTTACTAGACTGAATAAAAAAAAAGCAGATGTGAATCTTCAGGCAAGCTCTAAAACACAATTTTCTCTTTGGGAGCAAAATTGCATTTGTATGACTGAGGTGCAAGGGGAACAAATGCAAATGGTTTCAAACCGAAAGAACTGCTGTTAAGGTCATAGACTATTTGCAGAGAAAAGATGAATCCAAAAGGTGTTGTAAACACCTCTTATGAACTTGCACACTTTTTCACTTATACCTAGTGAGAAATATACCTTAAAATATACCTTATACCTTTCACTTATACCCAAAGAATCTTTCATTTTTTATATGGCTCTGGAACAATACAGTAAGGRTAAATTAACCTTCTCAGTGTTTTCATTTGTATTTAATTTCCATTTATACTTATTTTGTTGGCAGTATATTTGAAATTACTATTCCTGGCATCTGTAAGAAAGGGGCCTTAAGTAACAATGGTGCCACCGTAGATAACTTTTTCGTGAAGTGTGGTCCTGTATGAACTGGGTAACATGAGAGAGCTGCCTGGCTTTTGGGATAATATTGTAGTGCATAAAATAGTTGGGCTAAAGAGACATTCTTGTCCACTTTTCAAATAGCTTATCCTCATGTCGTCAAGTATTGTTGTCAAACATGCTGTCAAGCATCACATGARGGAAATAAAATAAAATAAAAGGCTTAGATTGTCTGGCTTGTGAGGAGGTTAAGTGGAAATATGCTCAAAATAYTCTCCCTTCACCCAGTCCCCAATAATGGCTTGAATATTAATAGAGCTTAATTGCCTGAATTCTTACTAGTTTTCACTTTTTTTTGTGACAAATAGGTACTCCTGGGAGAAATGGACCCCAAAGTCTATCTTCTTTTGGTTCTGGTGAGTTTCTTTGAATGTGTTTTTTATCAAGGKTTGTGGGGGAGCTTAAAGAAGTTATATACATAATATATTGTTTTCTTTCTTGGAAGAATAATTTTGCAGCAGGTAATGTCATAACCCATCACTGAWTCTAGTTTCCATGAAGTTAGGGATTAAGTTTTATGGGGGTATCTTCACCYCCCCGCCCCCACAGCGTGCACACCCGAATTTTGATTTTCTGCCTACCCAGCTCCTGGGCTATGTCGTGTCTACTAAGTACCTGCCACTAGCAGTTTACAGTGAAGTGTAGGGAAGTTCTAACAATAACCAAGAAACATGTGGCAGTGAAACAAGGTTGTAGCTATTGCTGCTTAGCCACACTGAAATGATCATTCAAACTGATGTTTAGCAAACAGAATCATGCAGTGTGATGRTGTGTTCTGGCTGGTTCATGGTGGATGGCCTTTGGCTTTTAGTGGCAGCAGTTTCTGTGTATCGCTGAGGACTGCACTTGAAATGTTTCACTTTAAATACATGTTGATGTCTACTTGTGTGGTGGGGGGAGAAGTGACAGTTGATCAGGTGGCAGATGGCACCCCAAGATCTGGCAGGGCTTTAAGGACTTCATGTKGGTTTTGTTTTGTGTTTCTGCTGGTTGGGACACCTGGTGCTGGCTTTTCCCTGGCAGGAGATGGGGGTTTTCAGATGAGGTTTATGATGAAGTGAGTTTGTCAGCTCTCTTGGAAGCATCCAGAGTTTAACTGTTCCCCTCAGTATTGGTCGTACTTGTCCTGAACTGAAAGCTGCTTGTAATCAAAAGCACTTGGAAAAGATGCTGAAGGTGTATCAGAAGGCCCTGTGYCCCATAAGCCAGGGGCAGATGTCTTTCCTAAAGAGGTGCTCCAGTCAACCAGATGTTATGAACTTGCTTCTGGAATGACTGGGTAAGGCAGTTCTGATCTGAAGCTTTGGTGCAGTGTTGTGGCAGTGTACTTTTAATTTCCTGTAGTTGTAACATGAGTCTTGTGCTTTACTCTGGTCTCAAGTGTTTGCACATCAACCAAGTTTTCTGTATGAGACCTGTTTCTAGTCAGGCTGCCTCTCAAACAGCAAGGATATGGCTTTGCATAGGGGCTTAGTGTTTGTTGYTCTTGCTGAACTAATGTTGTCCTGAGTATGAGTTTCGTGAGCTCTTTCTTAGGTGTAGGTCTTGCATGGGAGCCTGTGTAGAGAGTACACTTAGAACTTAATTGTGCTGATGAGTGCTTTGAGGAGAGTTAACAGTAGGCATCCAAGTGTATTTCTGGATTAGAAAGAGAAAAATTGAATTCCTCTTTCACTTCGTGGTGATCTTAAAATGAAACTGTTTTCAAAACCTACTACAGCATTTTCACTTCATTTTCAACAAAGAAAGCAACTAGTGCCTTTCTCTGTCCTCCTCTTTTTTTTTTTTTTCCTCTTGTGATTTATCTTTTCCAAGCTAAAAGGAACATGGCCATGCAGTTGAAATGTTTTGATGCTATAGAAAGGGTTACAACTGGAAACTGGTAGTAGCATTTAAAGATTCTTTAGCTTATTGTTTTTCTCAATAGAATATTTACAATTCAGTGCTTTCTTTAGCGGTATTTTCTGTGTTAAGAATTGGATYTAGAAATTGAGTGGTGTATGAGACTTTTTTGATTCCGTAGCTTTTACAGAATATTATGTGTGGCATGGAAAGCTTGTTTAAACACTTCCCCTGCTCACAATTGAGGATAGGTTTTAAAACATGAAAAAGACCGTGTAGCTGTTTGAATGTTCTGCAGTACAATGTTGTTAAGAAAAGACAAAGGATCTTCTTAAAAGTGAACTGAAATAATACCAGCTAGTACCATGTGAAAGGAGACACATTTTTTTTAGTAGCCTTGTTTTTATAGTAAAGCTTTTGTTCTAATGGGTTTAGCTAATTAAATCTTTTGTTCTTAAATTACAGTGTTGTAGTTGACTTCATATTTTTAAACCCATTCATTGAAGAAGTCCGAGTGTCACTTGTCTTGCCTGTGTGTTCTGTATGGAGTCAGAACTATATTTTCTTGCAAAAGAGCTTTGATAATGCTGATTACCATATCTGTGTTGTTTGTCTATTAAAGTTGCAGTTAGCATTGCTTTGTGGGTGAAAAATAGAAGGCATTTCTAGGATATGATTTTTTTTTTGAGTGCTTATGCTTTTATCCATTTCTASTTCCTTTCAGTCAGATGGAAAACTAGCAACTGGTTACATAAGACACAGTTCAGTGTTAACGTGTCTGTGGAGCTGAGGAGATGGTGCACTTCGGGAGCTCTTCATGCCTTTTTCTTACAAAAATATCCCCAGGCTGCTTTTGTCTCAAAGCTATTTTTTCATGGATATTCTTCCTCCAGGACACCAAATCATTTCTACAAGCTATTTCTTTAAATATYGTGAAGTCTTGTTATGGACATTGGGTAGTTACTTAGTTGATGAAGGCATTTGTTGAAGACCTCATAGTTSACCTTCAGCRTGCCACCTTCATGGCACATAACCCYACTGATGCAGCTTACCTGGKCAAGTGACTAACAAGTGCCTGGTTGTTGTTTTCCAGCCTGAAGCTGTTAACAGTTTTGCGAATGGTGCAAGAAATTGTACTTGTGTGAAGGTTTGAAAAGAGCTTGATGCACATGTGAGTRCAAGTGCTAGTATGGTCATGGAGCAGGGAGGATTGAGGAACTGTTCTGAGTTAAAAATAAGACAGGAACAGTTAAACTTCTGGTGGCAGCTCTGGCATAAACTGGTCATGAAAACAGTGGTGCTAAAACAGCATTCAGGAAGCCAAGCCAACCACTTGTCTCAGTTTTTTGGCTGCTTCTCTTTGGCCTTATTTTGGAATTCACTTGTAATAGACTTCTGCTCTACAACAAGCTTGATATCAGGATTGACTCTAGAAGGTGAAGATAGACAGATCCCTTCCTTTTCATTCCTTCCCTTCCCTGCCCTCCTCTTTGCAGGTACCAACCTTTGCAGGTGCAAGCTTACTGAAAGCAAAATGAAACATCAGTTTGGGAGAATCTCATTTCACATGAGAAATCTTAARCTGCTTGGAAAAGATCTAATAAACGAGACTTATTGCTAAGCTCTGCAGGACAATCCCTAACAAGTTATATTGCAATGCTACTTGTATGCCAATTGGAAGCTTTATTTATCCATTAAAGCATTCTGTGGTAGTCTCGCAGAGTTTAATCAATGTGAACCTTTTGTTAAAATAATCCTGCTTTTCTTTTTACATTTTCTAGTACCCTACTCTGTAGGGCATGGGAAACRTAACTTTAAGAACCATGCAGGAAACTGGTGAAACACATTCAGTTTTTCTAATCTTCAGCACTGAGTCTTCTGCATCCAAACAGCTGACAGCTTTTCTTGCACTTCAGCACTCRGAATGCAGAAAGCAGTGCTCGAGTACCTGTTGAAATGGGGCAAGGCAGGGAAGATTTAGGGCCAGGTCTTCCATCTTTCAGAAGTTGGCGTCAGAGAAGTGTTAGACAGGAGTTTCATTATAGATTAGTTGAAATGTAATTCTCAGTCTCAGGCGAGTCTTCAGCTTTTGTAAGCAGGCTGGAGTTGTTTGTTTCTTCATTCCTTCCTTCTCTAAGAACCTGGAAATTCTGCAGGCAAAAAAATGGAAAGCTTTGTGGGCTCTCTGGGCTGAAACATTAGCTCCAGKGTTCATTTACTGAGCGTACTTAAGATATTACAGATTGGAAATTCTAGCAGGCAAAGAATGTAACTTCCTATTTTTATCTCTTGAAAGTTAACRGAAAGATCAAGCTTGAATCTCTTTTCACAGACACTGGTACTGCGCACTGGGCTGTTCTGTTCCCTTTCTAGCTGCAGTAGAGAGCCAGCTATAGTCTTTTTTTAGATGTTTTTCAGCTCTGAACTATGAGGACTATGAATGGCAGCATTGTAAGGATTAGCTGGAGCTGGTGTGTTTATTGTTATTGTCTGAACTGCTCCTTAGATATCTAAAAACTCACTTTTTCACCCCAGTAATTAAGATGACTGTTTCTCACTTGAAGTGATTTGAGAGCTTTGCTTAACTACCAGGATGATATATCAGTAGCAAAATGCCTCATGTGATCGAGCCTTGAGTGCTTTCAGGCTAACCAAGAATGTTCTTAAAAGCAGACAGCAAAACTGTCAAGTGGTAAGTGATGTAACCATTGCTCGTGAACTGGCTGTAAAAAAAAATCTGTCTTGATGCTGTTACATATTTAAAAAAACAAACCTCACAGAATGAATCCAAATCTGTACGAGTATGTTTGGGGGGTAGYTTACTCTTATTTGTTCTTGTTGGAGGTTATGATGGGAAGGAAAATGGTTTTCATTTTAAAGAGATAGGAGTATCTGTCAGCCTGAAATAACCTTTGAAATCTTTAACTTGTTTAATCTGGGTTTTTTCAGCATTACAGAAAGCTAACAGCAAATGTAAGGGTTTAATTCCGTGGATTCCTTGTGCGCAGTTCACTTGTGCGGCACCCATTTCCGTGCTGGGAGGGAGTGTGTGGGCTCACTGGGGTGGTGTTCATCTTCAAGCTTTGCAGTAAGAGGCCATGGAGCAGAAGACAGCACTGCTGTTTCCTTCATGTATTAGCCCTAGGGAGAAGGGGATCCTCTATGTTTGTTAATAAATAAGATTTAGAGGGAGCTAAATGGCCAAATCCCTGAAGCTTAATGTTTTAAGATATGTTGCACTAATAGTAGTGACCAAACCGCATTGTATTTAGTAGCAGTTTTTATTCAAAGTACTTTGCTTGTAACTTTTTTCCAAAATGACTTTTTTTTTTAAAGCCACCCTAACCATGGAATATAACTCACTGCTCCCTTAAGTCAGAAGTTAAGACCAAAATAATTCTTGTAATATTTTGTTGCTGCTCTCAGTTCTGAAAGAGACTGCAAGCAATGTAAATGTCACCACTGGGGCATGAAAGAGACACTGATTGGCCTCATTTCTGTAGCTGTTGGCCTG